ACCCTGGATTAGCAAAGATGAAATAAGTCTATCATGGAATCAAATAGGTAAGTCTTAGGAGTAAGCTGAAAGCAGAAGTAAGAGAATATCCATACCATGGAGCAGATGATATGAGAAATGATGGATCTGTGGGGCAACTTTGTTGGTTTTGGGTGCAACATTGTTGTAAGCACCAGTAGCAGTAAGGGTAGTAGGGGTGGGAATCGGTCGGTAAACGGTAAACCGTTTACCGAATTTACCGGTTTGGTATACCGAGGGTGGCCAAACTGTTTACCGTTTACCGATACCAGTTTGTAACCGGTTTACCGATTACCGGTAAATGGTTAGAAACCGGTTTACCGAATTACCGCAAAGGGAGCCGTAGGGCAGTTTTTCGGTTCGGTTTACCGACCATTTACCGAACCGAAATTCTGTTAGTGGGGAAGATGTTGTAATATTTTTTTCTGAGTTTTTTTCTTCATTTTTTTAATTAATAATTTATAACATTTTTTAGACCTATACTTATGTATCATTTGTAACATTTGTAACTCTTATTTATAATATTTTTCTTCATGTTGTATGTAATATTTGTGAATAATGAAGTATATGTTATATTGTTATATGTTAATGCCATAACTTAATATTTGAGTTCAAACACTAAGTTGCTATCTATTAATCTATTTAATTTAACATAAGTTCAAAGGGTCAACAATCATGATTCATAAATCAACACCAACTCTCATCAAGCATCATCATTCATCAAATATTCAAATTCATCAAACGACAATTCAACAAACATCGTCAAATTCAAAGGGACAATGATAATGTCTAAATTCAACACAAGTTCAAAGTCCAAACTTAAAAATTAAAATAGACAACCAAATAAGTTAATAACCAAGAGCTCATGCTCCTCCTTCTCCGATAGAACTTGTAGCACCACCAACATTTGCACAACCTTTCTTCTTCAAAGTCCTGAGAAGAGTATCATCGGGATCATCATCGGCATCTTGGTTCATGTCTTCCTCCTCCTCCTCCTCTTCCTCCTCCTCTTCCTCATCAACCCCAACAACATATCCATGTGCTCCACTTGGGATGTCACTTGCAGTTTTCACTCGAGATTGTAAAGTATTAGTAACTAGTGCAAATAAAATACAACAAATGTTAGTATGTTACTAATGGAATGGTTTAAAATTTAAATAGTAAAGAATATAGACAAATTAGAATAATAAATTGAATTCTTACCACTTTCATAATCGATTGTCTCTTGATCTTCTTCCTTATCATTCAGTTCATCTGCAGTCTTTCCATTTTCATATCTTATCCAATCTTCGGCACATATCAATGCCTCCACAATGTTTGGGCTTAAAGAGGACCTGAAAGGACTAAGAACTCGACCTCCACAACTGAAAGCGGACTCCGATGCAACAGAGGAGACTGGAACTGCTAATATATCCCTAACCATCTCTGAAAGAATGGGATATCTAACACTGTTCCGAGCCCACCACTTCAGAATGTCAAACTTCCGATCATCAATCTCCTCATTAATAGCATCACCAATCTCTCTCAAATACTGCTCCAACTCACCAGAACCTCGACCCCCCCCCCTCTCAATTTTCTCCTTTCTCTTCTGCTGGAACCGAGCTTCAAATGCAGACTCAATATCAAAGGATCCGTCACTAGTCTCAGTAGGAGTAGTAGTCTGGGTAGTAGGCACAGAAACAGAGGATGAAGTTGCATACTTCATCTTGTAGACATCGTACAATGCAATCATCTCCTTCTTTACTACATCTGCCAAAGCTTCCCCTTTTGAGATCCCATACATTTCCTCCAACATCATAGTCAAATAGTCTAGCTTACGCCTGGGATCCAGCACACAGGCCATGTAAACTATCCTATTTATCCTAAAGTTGTCCTCCTCGTCAGCAACATCATTCTCAAACCAATACTTTCTCACCTTTGCCTCTATTCTCGATGTCATTCTTTGTATCTGTCTATCTGCATCTTTCTTCAATTTTGCTATCACTTCATGAATATCCACAATGGATTTGCAGAAAGTATGTGCAGTGACATATGATGTTCCTGATACAAAGAAAAATTTACCGACATTAGTATAAATAATATAACTCATAACTCATAATCATTCAATTTAATTTTAAAATTTGAAAGTTATTAGTTCATATACCTGATACACGAAGAGTAAGCTCATAGAAGAACTTCAGGCACTTCATGAGCCGCCTAATACTGCTCCAATCATCTTCAGTTGGAAGACCCTTCTTTGAATCCACATACTCTCGAAAGGAAGAATCAGTAGGACTAGCATACATGAACGTAAAAACCTGCTCAAACCTCTCCGCGGAATCCAACATCAGATAGGTGGAATTCCACCTAGTCGGAACATCCAAAGACAATAGTCTTTTCCCATCCATCTCTAGATACTCAATGCCTTTCTTGAACTTTCCCATCCGAGCTGGGGATGACTTCACCCATTTCACACAATCCCTTACCCTCTCCACAGCAACTCCAACCTCCTTCAATCCATCAGGAACAACCAGATTGATGATATGTGCCACACATCTATACTGCAAATACTTCCCATCTAGCAAATCTGTTCCCCACCACTTCATTCTCATGCACTCAACAAGAACATCATTCGAACTGGCATTATCCATTGTCATGCAAAACAAACTCTTCACTTTCCATTCTTGTAAACACTTCTCCAAAGTATCTGCAATATCCTTCCCCGTGTGACTAGTAATGGGAACAAAGCAAATAATCCTCTTCTGAAACTTCCAATCATCTCCAATAAAATGAGCAGTCACACACATAAAATTCTGGTTATTATCACTAGTCCATGTATCTGTAGTGATAGATATTCTTCCTTTGCACTTTGAGTTAAAAAAACTCAATCAATATTTCTTTCTTCTCCAGAAAAATGACATAACAATCAGATCTTATTGTTTGCCTTCCAGGTATCACAAACAAAGGTTGAGCTGTTGCCATAAATCTCCTAAACCCCTCCCGCTCAACAAATCTAAATGGAAGCTCATCCAAGATTATCATCATAGCTAATGCATGTCTAGATTTGTTCTGATCAAACTTCCATGGAGTAAGAGAGCCTACCTCACCGACTCCACTTTCTGTTCCAGGTTGATAGTTCAATACAGACTGACCACTAGCTTCCTTTGCCTTCCTCTCGCACATTAGGTGATGGCTCTTCAAACCACTAGTCCCATTGAAGGTTGAATGAGCTTTGATCAGCGTCCCACACCTTTTGCATTTGCCGTATGGGTAGTCATCAACCAACACACGGGTGTAAGGAATCCACCACTTAGATTTTGACTTCTTCGCCTTCCCCTTCCCCTTGTCAATTTTCTTCTGTACACCAGGTACCTCAACAGATGGAGGAGGATTTGCTGTTGATGGAGGAGGATTTGCCTCAGGAGGTGGATTTGCTGCTGCTGCTGCAGGTGGAGGAGGATTTGCAGTAGTGGAAGAAGGTTTGCTAGTCGAAGCCTTCCCTTTTTTTGAAGAGCTTCAAGGAGGTAACGAACTAGCTTTCTTCTTACTACCTCCTCCACGGTTGCCAGCAGAAGGTTTCGTCCTACAAAAAAAAAAACAATCTCAATTCACTTCCAACCTGTACTTAGAATGCATAGCCACCAAAAGTAAAAAACACAAGAAAAAACAACTCTACTAAAAATGGCAAAATACAGTAGAGAAACACACTAAGAATCTAAGATGGTGCAAAAAACCAGCAAAAAATAAGAAACCATCACACTAAATTTTTGAAGTTTAATTACCCCGATAGAAGAGATTGATTTTTTTTTGGACTTTTGCATTTGCCATCTATGTAGCCGCAATTATACAAGGCATAACAAAATTTTATGGTTTACTGAAACACAAAAGAGGATGTGATCACCAAATTATAATCCCCAAAAGCTAATAATTCCAGCATCACATTACGAGGTTGGCTTAGAGCTTACAAATTGCAGCAAGGTAAAGTGATTTAGACAGTGCCAGCCATCAATGAACATCCTAAATGCAAAAGCTCATCTGATTAACTTGACAATTTGACAGCCACCATTTCCTGATTGATGCATAATGATAATCCCCACATTCTTCCCTCAATCACACAGCACATTTGCTACCATTCTAAGCAAAAACTCTGGAAATTCTCAATTACACAAAATTCTCAATTCAACAAATTCTCAATTCACACAAAACACAATCTCAAATTCAATATGTCAACAATTCAATTACATACATTTGGTTTTGGACTTGATTTTGTTGCCTGTTGTTGACTTGCTGTCTGCTGAGTTGCTGGTTTGCGTTGGGGCCTGTTGGGACTTGGGCGTTGGCTGTTGGCCTGTTGGCTGGAGGAGGAATGGCGGATGAAGCTCGCTCTTCACCCTCTTCCCCTTCTTTGAAGCTGCGGCGGCGAGGGAGAGTCAGGGCAGGTGGCGAGGGAAGGCCGAAAGGGAACTAGGGCAGGTGGCGGAGGATTTGCTGGAGGAGGAATGGCGGATGAAGCTCGCTCTTCACCCTCTTCCCCTTCTTTGAAGCTGCGTCGCCGAGGGAGAGTCAGGGCCTCATTCTTCGCCGTCGACGAGAAGCGGAGAGGAGAAGGAGAGGCGGTGGGCGAAGGAGAGGCGGCGGGAGAAGCGGACTGGAGAAGGAGAGGTGGCGGCGTCTTCTGCTCTGCGTCGGCGGCTCTGCGTGCGAAGGGGAAGGGACGAAGCTCGAAGCTCGAAGGGTGAAGGTCGAAATGTCGAAGGTCAAAGCGAAGGAGGCGCGTTTTCGCGTTTTGGGCAGGGGCGCAGGTAGGGTTTCTCACTTGCCCAAAACGCAGCGTTCCGCCGTTCCCCATTCGGTATTTATCGATTTACCGACGGTAAATACCGACCCTGTGTCTGGTAAATTGGATCGTCGCCGTCGCAACCGGATACCGATACCGACGGTAATCGGTTTACCGTTTACCGACCGTTACTGGTTCGATAAAACGGTAAACCGGTTACCGTATTACCGTTTGTCAGCCCTAAAGGGTAGCAGCAAAAGCCCAAACAATTCCAAGGCAGAAAGCAAGTGAATCTCTCCAGTAATGCATGGGCCCTCGAATGGAGGTGCTTCAAATACTGGAGTGGAGCAGCAAACACAAGGAAATTACTTTCACACATTGAGCAGGCATTTGCTTCCATCTTAAGGTTCTATACAAAAAATTACACTTACCTGGCAAATGACAAGCAGTAGCAGACCAATCTCCACACAGTTAGCAAGCTGCGTAGAGTAACAAATTACTTTCAATCATCATTTTAAGTTCAATATCTTAGGCAGACAGACATCTATGTCCCAAGAAGAAGAAAAAAACAATTACCATCAGGAATCCCCTGGTGAACAGACCAAGGCCAACGACACCAACCACCGGAACAATAACTATGGCACTAAAGTGCATGAGAAATGTGAGAAAAGAAAGAAAGAAAAACCAGAATAATACAAGTTATTTCGGAACCCAACTACCATATCCGTATGATGAGTGAATCAAGAGGGCGATTAAGTTTACCTGGTCAAATTCCCAATTGTCGTACTGTATCCCAAGATGAACTTAGATTGTCCTCATAGTGTGGACAAATCTCTCTACCAACCACAAGACACAAATTAAACAAAAGAGTTACACCAAGAAAACGTAGAATCCCCCCACTTATATGCTAATCATGAGATGAGAGTATAAATCGTTGGTTCCCATTTTATGATTGACAAAATGTATGCAAAAGATGCTCCCATCACAGTTGGAAGCCTCTAGTCCCAATGAGTGTCTGAAGCTCAGCCAAAAACAACGACGCGGGTTTTGTCACATTGCTTCCAATAATGCGGTTAAAAAAATGGTAACATTCATTTTGATTCTGAGTTGTTAAATAAACTTGGGTGTTATACATCACTTACATGAGTACCGCCCATAGGAGGCACGAGATCGCTAGCAAGCATCACAATGTAGTGCTGGAAAGCCAGAAAGGCCGTCTCGGCTGTCAAAAAGTTTTAATTGCTTAGTTCAGTATATTAATTATCAGCTGTTAAATTGTATCTAACTCGAGTAAATATCAAATATCCAAGCCAACCCTTAACTCTCTCCAGTCCAAACCACCAAGACTGAACTAGAATAGTAGTTTTTTTCAGTAATATGATTGAAGAATTGAGCTTTAATAAAGTGAAATATACAACTCTTTCGGTACTTTATTTACAAACTTCTCTCAGGTAAAGATTCCGGATGAAGTAAGGAATCAAAGCATATGCCCCAAGATTCAGAATTCCAGCTTAAACTTCCTCAACACTTGGAAACGGAATCGAAAACAACAAAAATGAACCCCAAAAAAATTATCAACATCAATTTCAATAGAATAATTTTCTTACTTACTTTCCAAACTGATAAATAGTGCGGAAATAGTAAAGAAGGCTTTGATTTACGTGGTTCTTCCTCACGTCGTGTGAGGCCGTCGGGGACTGCTCCAATACAAACACTAGCAGACCAAAAAGCACCAATCTTTTCAGCCATAGCTTTCTCCTAGAATTGAAAAAACCCCTAAAAGCTCAAAACCCCTCTATCCAAATTCCAACCATCACGAATTCAAATCAAAATTAGACCCCAGCTGTAAAATCCAGAAGAGCAGGCCTGGAAAGTAAAGGAACATACGCCAACAAGGGTTGGAGTGGATGCAGTACTGTCCAAATCGGTTGCCTTGAAACGGACATCGGCGGAGGCCCAGCCGGCGGCGGCGTGTGGTTGCGACGGTGGTTATGCCCATGCCCACGCCCTGTTTCATCCGGACATCAACACTCCAGAAACGAGAGCAGAGAGAAGAGTAAAAAAGACAGAGCTTCATGGGAGGACGAATTTTAACATTACAAGAATGGCATAAAAGAAGATGTAATGAAGAAAAGTTAAAAAACAAGCAAAAATTGATCTTTGTTGTGAAGATTTCTCAGATAAAATAGGAAAATACGGATGTAACAATGAAAACCAAAGGATAAAGAAAAGACGAAAATACGAAAAGTATAAAAAATGGCGAAAAATAACTTATAAAGAATATAGAAAAAATATATATAGAAATCCTAATAAATATTTCAGAAATAGAAAACAATATAAACAAAAAACAAGAAATAAAGATTATTGTCCTAAAGGCAAACCAAATTTTAGATGTTGGCTTTGTAATGAAGAAGGACATTATGCTAATAAATGTCCAAAGAGAAACGTTAATAATAAGAAACAAGAAGTGCTAAGAATAGCCTTCGATTGCGGATTTGAACCTATAGAGGAAACAGACTTTGAAACATCAGATATAGATAAGTCAGATGAGTCAGAAAAAGGTACTAACTAAAAGTAATCCCAATGCAACATTTATAAAAGTCACTATTGAAAACAAAGATTTTCTAGCATATATAGATACACGAGCAACACTTTGTTTTACAAAAAGGACAACCATTAGAAATTGGGAAAATTAGACAAACCTCTAAAAATTGTAGTCGTAGATAAATCGATACACGAGATTTGGTATGTAAAAAATTATGTACCCATCATTATAGAACAATATGTTTTTACTGCTAAAACGATATATTTACATGATTCAGGGTTAGATATGATAATAGAAAATAATTTCCTTAAGTTATATCAACCTTTTACCCAAAGAATTAAAAATATTAGTCTTCGAGCACCCAGAATGAAAAACCAAGAGTCCAAAATCATTACAACTAAAATTATAACAAAAAATGAAGTATTGAAAATCGTTCTACAAAAATTAAAAAATAGGCTTGAATATATCCAGGTAGCTTATGGAATAGTTGAGGAAAAACTAGAAGAAGTATGTAGTGAACACCCATTAGATAGTATAAAAAATACAAATTCAGAATTAATAGAAATTAAACTTAAAGATCCAAATATAGAAGTTATTGTCCCCAATAAAATCCAATATACACAAAGAGATGTAGAAGAATTTCAAGAAGAATGTAAAGAGTTACTCAATAAAAATATCATTAGGGAAAGTAAGAGTCCTCATAGCGCTCCGACGTTTTATATAGAAAATAATAACGAGTTAAAAAGAGGAAAGAGACGTATGGTAATAAATTATAAAAAACTAAATGAACAAACAGTAGGAGATAGTTATAAACTACCTAGAAAAGACTATATATTAGAATGATTAAAGGGTCAAACGTGGTTTAGTAGTTTAGATGCTAAATCAGGATATTGGCAATTACGTTTACAAGAAAACACAAAGCCATTAACAGCTTTTTCATGTCCACCTCAAAAACACTATGAGTGGAATGTCGTACCATTCGGACTTAAACAGGCACGAGGAATTTATCAAAGATTTATGGATAAAAATTTAGAAGGTGTTGAGGTAACTCAGGGTTCATTTGGGGTTCTGTCGTCTCTGGCTCAGTTTTCTGTGGGGGAGGTCATTGTTTCTCCTCACAAGGACCCAATTCATTTCCCTGAATTGGGAAGAGATGGTTTAAACAAGAAGAAGGGTAAGCCTGGTCGGCCTCCGAAAGGGGCAAAACACAACTCCAAGTAATGAATGTTCTTATCTGGAACATGCGGGGGTTTAATAACCCTGCTAAACAAGATAGTATAAGAGAAGCTGTAAATAGATATAGAGTAGACATTGTTGCTGTTTTGGAGTCCAGAGTTAGTCCAGATAAGGTGAAGAAAATCGTAGATGAGAAATTCCCAGGATGGGAGCACAAGGAAACATACTCTTTAACAGGAGTTGGGAGAATCTGGTTACTTTGGAAGAAGGATCTCGGATTCAGTGTGGTTGACAGTGGAAGCAATTTCATCCATGGAATTCTGCAGGAGGGTTCCCCAACTCAACTCACCTTTCTTTATGGGTCTAATGATGTGGGGGAAAGGAGGCAGACCTACAGGGAGATTGCTGGTAGAGTGGATCTCTCAATCCCTTGGATGGTGGCTGGCGATTTTAACGCAATTTTAGATAGCTCGGAAAGCTCTAATCAAGCAAGTTTAGGGGAAAGTACTCAGGACTTCAAACACTGGATTGAAGATCTTGAGCTGATTGATACCTTGGTTCACTTGGTCAAACAAGCAGTCAGAGTCTCCAATTGCCAAGAGGCTGGATAGGGTTCTTGTCACTGAGGGTTGGATGGCAGCTTGCCCAAGAAGTTCAGTAACGGTTCTTATGCCTGGCTTGTCTGATCACTGTGGATTACTTGTCAAAATGGACTCTGCAGTTCAGTCCTTGCCCAAGCCATTTAAGTATTTTAGCTTCTGGAAATTGCACCCCCAGTATGAAGAGTTGGTGAATGAAGGTTGGCTCTGTTCTACTACTGGAACAGCGATGGCAAGGTTGTACCAGAAACTACGGAGTATCAAGGGTATCCTGAAGAACCTAAATAAGGAACAATTCTCTGAGATCCATGATAGGGTTAAGAAGGCCAAAGCAGAATTAGAGTTTGCTCAGCAAGAAGTGTTGGAGCGCCCTGCCTCTTCCACTTTTCAAGCTGAAAAGAGGTGTATGGTCCAACTTCTTGCTTTGCAGAAAGCAGAGGACAGTTACTTGCGCCAGAAGTCAAAGCAGCAGTGGATTACAAAGGGGGATACAAACTCTAAGTTCTTTCACAGCATGGTTAAAACTAGGCAAGCTAGGAACTCTATTAAGCAACTGGTTACAGGGGAAGGAGAGATTCTGGAAGATATTGAAGAAATTGGGTTGGAAGCAGTGAATTTCTACAAACAACTCTTAGGGGCAGAAGATCCAAATCTGAAGCGAGTCTCGGCTGATACCCTAGGCAGACTACTTAAGTTTCATCTGGAGGGTGATGGTGAGGATTTATGTGCTCAGGTTACAGGGGATGAAGTTAAAAGGGTGGTTATGAAGATGAAGAGGGGGAAAGCCCCAGGGCCAGATGGTTTCCCTGCAGAGTTCTTTCAATTACATTGGGACCTGGTAGGGGAGCTTCTTATCTCTGCTGTCCAGGATTTTTTTCGAACTAGCACTCTGCGCAAAGAGGTAAACTCTACAATCTTGGCTCTTATCCCAAAAGTCCCAAATGCTAACACCATGAAAAACTTTAGACCCATATCCTGCTGTAATTTTGTTTACAAATGCATCTCCAAGATCCTGGCCAACAGAATCAAAACTGTCTTACCCCAACTAATTAGCCCCAACCAATCTGCCTTCATCCAGGGTCGGTTAATTACAGATAATATTGTGTTAGCTCATGAGATGGTTAAATGGTATAATAGAAAGAATGTTTCCCCCAGATGTGCCTTAAAAATCGATATAATGAAGGCTTTTGATAGTGTTGATTGGGATTTTCTACTCTGTACACTAACTGCCATGGGTATCCCTAGCAAATTTGTGAATTGGGTGAGGGGCTGTTTGGTGTCGACAGGTTTTTCTGTTTGTATTAATGGAGGGCTCA